TATCGCTGGGGTTGATTATCCTTGGGGAACTAAGCGCGTGCGCTACCCTGCACGAGCAGATGCAAATTTTTATTTGCGTTAAGCGTTTACAAATTAAATCTAATAAGTTTTGAACTTTGGATTTTTGCTTCTTCCTCTTCCTCTGCATCCCCTGCTCTTCCTCCTTCTCATCCTTCTGCTCTTTCTTTTCTTTATTTCTCTCTCTCTCTCTCTCTCTCTCTCTCTCTCTCTCTCTTTCAATTTCTTTTTCTTCTTGCCTCCCTGCCCCCTGAACTTGTTCATCGCTGCGGTTGATTATCCGGGGGGAACTAGGCAGAGCGAGCAAATGGAAACCTTAATTTCCATTAAGCGCTTACACATTAAATCTCATAAGTCTTGAACTTTGGATTTTCGCTTCTTCCTTCTCCGCTCCTCTCTCCTTCCCCTGGCCCCCCTGCTCTTCTTCTTTTCCCATATATATATGTATGTATGTATATATATATATATATATATACATTTATGCATGTTCTTTGGATTTCCTTCTCCCCCTGGCAGCTTGATCTCTCTTTGCGCTGACTCTGGCGGGCAATTTTTATTATCCCGCCGAAAACCCCGAACTTTATTGCCCCTTAGGGTTTATTATTGGGGGCATGGGGTTACCAATGACGAATGCGGGCCCTGTCCAACCCTTGTTCAACCAGTGTCGCACTGCATGCGGGCCTACGCGCTGACGAGCCAACCCAGCGTCCGAGTAGCCCACAAGGCGCTGTATTTCGTCTTCTGGATATTCTTCGTGAGGTTCCCCCCCATTGAAGCGGGCGCCCCCGCAAGCGCCCCCTCCTCGGGGGGGCGCCAGGTCTATTGTCCTTCCATGGGGGGTTCCTTGGCTTCCTCGCATCAGGGGGGCGAGGGCGCTGGAGGCCGCTAGAGCGAGCGCGCGCGGTCGGGCGAGCCGCTGCGGGCCCGACCGCGACGTGCCAGACGCGCGTCGTCTTCCCATTCTTCGTCATCGTCGTCGGCGCGATACCTACGTCTCCAGGCCGGGCGGCTTGCCGATCGCTCCTGGCGGCTCATGGGGCGGTCCGAAGCTACGAATGTAGATTGAAGTCCTTCGCTGTGGCCGAGCTCGCACTGGGCGCCTTCAGACAGATCGCCGGTATCTCGCGGGTTCCCCAGCAGAAGGTCATCCTCACTCAATTCCATGCATGTCGGAATACCAATAACCCGAGGATACAGCATCAATTATATTTCCTCCCCTGTCGCAGGAATAGTGGCCTCTGAATCCGCGGGTGCCACCGCTATTTCGCCATCTCCTTCGGCGGGCACGTGGAAGTTCTCGACAAATTCAATATCGGCAGGTTGCCCCGCGATGGGTATGCTCAGCCAGTCTACAAGATCGATCTCATTGTGGCCAGTGAATATCTCCCCGGACAGCCCGTCGGCATACTTCCCAAGGGACATACTGGCACTCAAACATCTGGCAGCCGTGAAGTTAACAACTGCAACTGAGCTGTCGGCAGGGTCGGCCAAAAGTGACTCCCAGCCAACATACTGATGTCCGAGTCAGTTTGAGCCAGATGCATCGACGGACCTCTGCCTCCCCCATCGCCCTGAGGGCATTCGCGGCGGAACTGTTGAGTGCGATGGCAGATATCGTAATCCATAGCGTTGCCGTTCGCATCCTTCGGCGTGCCCCGACGTCCCGAACCTTTTCCTGATGCGTGCCTACGATTCCTGCCTGCACGTAGGAACATATCTTCATATTGTGGCCCGGTAAGGGATGCTAGAAATGCTGGCATGCCTCTGCCGTGCAATCGCCGCCGTTTACCTTTACCCTAACCTCGACCCTTGCCCTTTCCCCTGAGTGCCCGTCGGATAGCGCGCCGCGCCTTGCGAACTGGCTTCTTCATTAATCGTCCCCACCTGCGCTTATGTTTCTGGTATCCTAAGAATAACCATTTCGCCTGTTATTCTTCCGTGAGGTACGTGGGCATGTCGGAGTAGTCTAGGGCGGTCGCCTCGTCGTCCGAAGGCGTGTCGGTGTCGGTCCCAGAGCCGAAGTCGGACTCGGCAGGTTGCCCCGCTGAGCCCATTAGGGCTGTGGCTTGCGCAAGGGCCACCGCATCGGGCGGCCCCTGGAACCTGGCCCAGGAGTCTTGCGACCCCGAGGCTGAACCACCGTTCTGAGCCAGTAGTGTGGCGGTCTCTGTCGGTTGCGGATCGTCATCCCCGACGTTATTAGCAGAATGCCCTGCGTTTGCCTCAACATGGAAGGTCTCGGTTCGGTGACCGTGACTGAAGATACCACCAATATTGCCAGGGGTTGTCTCAGCAATGTGAGCACATGACCTCATGCGTTCAAGTAGAGAGTCAAACTGTTGCTGGCCCCTCGGCATGCGGGGGTATAGTGGTTACAGGAGTTGTTGTGCACTTGACGTCCCCACTCCAAGGGCTCTGAATGAAATAACTGTTTGAATTTGGAAGTTGGGGATGTTAAAGCCTGCCGTTTCAGCTTCATAGCGGGCTATCTCGAAGCGCGCCAGGGTCTGGTCGATCCGTTCTCCCGCATTGGACTCGGAAGTCAATGAGAGCTGTACCAGAGTTGAGTTGGTGTTCCTCTTCTAGGTTCTCGAACTTCGCACGTACGAGGAACATGATGTCGGTGGCGCCACCGGTATAGCGGCCACCTATGTTAACGCCGAAATTGGTAACTGCGGGGGGAACTCTCATAGCCATGGTCCGTGCGAGGCCCCCCAAGCTACGCTGCAAGGCTGCAGCTTGTTGGGAAGGCGTCATGTTGCCTGTGGTCACGTTGATCCAGGCATGCGCCTCGCGAGCGAATTCGCGGAAAGGTACTTGACCGGACGGGTCCCAATGGGGGCCGGTCGTTCTTGTGTCGTCTCCGCCACGCATATGTCCCACCGCACACCCGATAGCAACCCATGCGAGCCCAAAGATAGTAATACCAATCCAATGGCCTCGCAGGTTGTGGTCGGATGTGGTTGGTTGGGGTTTGCGGTATGTGGTCGTGAGCCTGCGTGGGGGTGGAGGCGGTGCAATGTCGTATCGCATGTTTCCATGCATTACGTCACCGAAAAAGTTTCCAATTGGAGTAGTTGGGTGGACTTTAGGAGTGCAGTAGCGCAGGGATGTAGGACACGAGTAAGAGGCCTCTGCGTAGGCAGAGGTATCACTGCAAATGTCTTTGCGATGTTCCGTAATTGTATACATTCTTCCGTGCAAACCCACTGCACCCTGACGTTCCACCACGTCAGTAGTCCACCAGATGGCGCCGTGGATGGTGAGGAGTAGAGCAAGAGCTGACCACCATAGGCCAGCTCCGCTACCAAGTTTGACAGGGGTTGGGAGGCCCAACCAGCAGCTTCGCCTTAAGCGAAGCCCAGCTCCAGCTCTGTTATATCGTAGTAGCGGCAATCCCAGCAGTAGGTCGTCGCGAGAGCGACGGGCCATCTCAAGCGAAGCATGTTTTCGGTCTCGATGGCGAATGGTACACCTCGCGCTGAGGTGTAATCAGATTTGGGCGGCCGGCTGTTTGAGCACAAACGGCCGCGGACACACGCTCGTTACCTCTCGCCTGTATCCCAACTCACTTTAGAGTTCGCGGCCACGAGCGGCTCGCTAACCCGGGTCAGCCAAAGGGGGTCTTCGCATGATCCTGCAGGATCCGGCGCTCTGGCTGACCCCCGTCTGCATTGACCCCCGTCTCAAGGCTCCCGAGATCCGCTGACACCCTCGACTCCGGCCCATTTGAGCGGCATGCATGGGCAAGCCCTGCGCAAAAGCAGTCGCGAGACAGCGCGGCGACCTCCCCCACGAAGCCAGTATACGGGGAAGATTCGTGTCGTGACGACGCCTGCGATGATCTATGACGCCGCATGCAGCACATTTTTCTCATGGTAGAAACAGAAACACCGTTTGCGCAAACGGTCCGCATTGCCCTCACCCCGCACGCATGTCAACATTAGAAGGTTGCCTCTGCAATCGAGAAGACGCCTGCACCGTTGTAACTCGGAGTCGCAGTCTCCCAAAGGGCAGCGCGGTGAACGCATGCCTTCGAAGGCATGGATGCCTCGGTGTGGTCATCCTCTCCTAGCAACCCTCCGACGGCAAACCCACCGCGCCCAAGGTGCTTGACGTAGAAATTCAAGTACAAGGTGCCCTTCTCAGTGCGCCCATGGGCGACTTTGAGTTCTACGCCCCCAAACTTTAACCACTGCGGATGCTCGTCGCGCGCACCCTCGGCTTGGAAATGGAGACCGTCGGTTCCCTTCGCCTCCACCCACGCACCTGTGATGTTCAGCTCGTGGAAATACATGTCTGCGCACTGCCCTCCAACTTGCCGCGCCTCAGCCTCCACGCGAAGCATTGCATTGGAACGCCTTCCACGGGGGATGTTAATCCGCCGACCCCTTGGTGTTCATCGGCGGGTGAGATGCTTCCACCTCCCCAAACCCCTCCCCCGGGAGCCGGATCCGGTCGATTTGGAGGGAGGGAGGTTCTACCAGGGCCGCCGTCGGCGGTGTGGCGTAAGCCCAATAATCAGAACATGCCTTCCTGGTTTCATCAAGTCGAACCGCTGGCCGAGAACGTTCTGAAGGTGGGGGTCGCCAGTGGCAGCCACGGCTGCGCCCGCTCCACCTGCCATCGGAGCTCCAGGAAGAAACGTCGGATGCGGCGTCGGCCAGCCCGGAGGATACGTCGGGCTGGGGGTCGGGCTGGGCGTCGGGAACGGCGTCGGGAAGCCGGTTGGGAAGAGAGTCGGGAAAGCTGTCGGAAACGGCGTCGGGAAGGCCGTCGGGAAGGGCGTCGGAAATGGCGTCGGGAAAGACGTCGGGAACGCCGTCGGGTAGGGCGTCGGAAATGGCGTCGGGAAAGACGTCGGGTAGGGCGTCGGGTAGGGCGTCGGAAACGGTGTCGGGTAGGGCGTCGGGTAGGGCGTCGGGTAGGGCGTCGGGTAGGGCGTCGGGTAGGGCGTCGGGTTCGGCGTCGGGTTCGGCGTCGGGTTCGGCGTCGGGTTTGGCGTCGGGTAGGGCGTCGGGTAGGGCGTCGGGTTTGGCGTCGGATTCGGCGTCGGGTTTGGCGTCGGGTAGGGCGTCGGGTAGGGCGTCGGGTAGGGCGTCGGGCTTGGCGTCGCGGTGGTCACTTTCAGGCTCGCGCCAGCATCGACGTAAAGACAGTGCCCGCCTCCCCATCCAACGTTGTAAGACAGCGCTACTTGACTGCCAGATGCCGAGGGCGCGGGCAATGTCCAGGTGAACGAAAACGCCGATCTGGAATGAGGTGCCACACCATAGTTATACGACTCCGACCCCACCACAACACGGATGTAGCCTTTGTAGCCCCCCCAGCCCTGGTCTCTCCAATAACCACTCATTTGGATCGTCGTGATTGGCTCGGTAATTGTCGCCGAGGTCCACCAACTATTCCAACCGCAAGTGCAGCAATGGCTGACTCCTCCAAGACTGTAGGTTTGGTAGCCAGCTGAACGCTGCGCGGGCATCCCGCTCACTTCCTGCACTTCATGCACCTCCTTCATACTGTCACTAGTGCGCGAAGCGTTGTGCGGGTCGATACCGCGATGGACGCCCTCGCTCACCATCATGGAAGCCGCGGTTGATACGCCCTGAACCAATAGCGCCACGTACACGATCCATGGTGCACTCCTGGTCGCCGCCATCCCAACTGCCGGAGGTCCGAGTGAGAGGGAACTGCGCAGGTCCAGTCTCAAAGGATGGTGTGTGCACGCACGTGAAATAGCGACAATGGCTACGGTCTGACGCCGCATTGCATCACTCAACCTTGACGATCGCGGCTCTCCGATCGCCAGATCGCTTCATGCTGGCCGATGATGGGCAAGTGGCGGCGTTCAAGCTTGACCGCCCGTGCCGGGGTTGCCTCCGAGTCGCCTTGGCATGAAAGCGGGTCCTGAGTCCTGAATGATTGGCCTTCCCCCAGGACCAGCTCTCCGTTTTTTTCTTTTTGCAAAAAAAAAATATGAACAAAAAGCAGGAGGGCCCCTGTGAGCATGCCTGGGTGGCGGCATTCGAGCCCCAACCCCACCAACCATCGATGCTCCTAAATCGATGGGAGGCGGGGGTAGTAGGGTTCGGATTTCACCACGTGCTTGACGAATTCCGAACCCTACCCCCGCCGCCCGTCGAGTTGCCTGAATCGTCGATCGGTACGGCTGCTCTCCGGGCGCAGAGCCCGCCTTTCTCCCTTGGCGGTTCTGCAGGGCCCAGGGAGGGCCCTGGGTGCCCCCAGACGACAGAGAAACCCCTCCAGCGCCATCTCTTGCCTCAGGACACCTCTGCGCGACCGAGGTTCGCGGAACAAGTACTGAAGGAGGCCCGTCTGACCACGGCGAGCCTCGACCACGAAGAAGCTCCCCGACCTGGATCCCAGAAGCTCCCCGATCCTGGATCCAAGCCGAAGCCGCCGAGGTTGTCGAGCGCCGACCCGAGAAGATCGGCCTGGAGCTACGGAAGTCGTCTGCTTTTTGACCGGCCGGATCGAACTCGGCTGCGACGCAACAGAACCGACCGACCCCGCTGACACCCTCGACTCCGGCCCATTTGAGCGGCATGGATGGGCAAGCCCTGCGCAAAAGCCCTCGCCAGACAGCGCGGCGACTTCCCCCACGAAGCCAGTATACGGGGAAGATTCGTGTCGTGACGACGCCTGCGTTGATCTATGACGCCGCATGCGGCACATTTTTCTCATGGTAGAAACAGAAACACCGTTTGCGCAAACGGTGCGCATTGCCCTCACCCCGCACGCATGTCAACATTAGAAGGTTGCCTCTGCAATCGAGAAGACGCCTGCACCGTTGAAACTCGGAGTCGCAGCCTCCCAAAGGGCAGCGCGGTGAACGCGTGCCTTCGAAGGCATGGATGCCTCGGTGTGGTCATCCTCCCCTAGCAACCCTCCGACGGCGAACCCACGGCGCCCAAGGTGCTTGACGTAGAAATTCAAGCACAAGGCGCCCTGCTCAGTGCGCCCATGGGCGACTTTGAGTTCTGCGCCCACGATGGCCTCCAAGACGGCCCTGGAGCATTCCAGGGGGGCCCCGAGTCGGCTCAGAGAGGCCCCCCAAAGGGCTTCCGACGGCGTCGGACGGGCCAGGGGCCCACCAAGACGGCCGAAGATGGCCCTAAGATGGCCCAAGAGACTAAAACAAAAAAAACAGAGACTGAAGATGACCGCGGGCTGGCCGGCAAGGCCGGCAGGGCCGGCAAGGCCAGCAAGGCAAGGCCGGCAGGGCCGGCAAGGCCGGCAGGGCCGGTAATACTAAGGCCGGCAGGGCCGGCAAGGCCGGCAAGGCCAGCAAGGCCGGCAGGGCCGGCAGGGCCGGCAGGGCCGGCAGGGCCGGCCAGGCCGGCCAGGCCGGCAGGGCCGGCAGGGCCGGCAGGGCCGGCAGGGCCGGCAGGGCCGGCAGGGCCGGCAGGGCCGGCAAGGCCGGCAGGGCCGGCAGGGCCGGCAGGGCCGGCAGGGCCGGCAGGGCCGGCCAGGCCGGCCAGGCCGGCAGGGCCGGCAGGGCCGGCAGGACGCATTTTCAGTTTTTTTTTTTTTTTTTTTTTTTTTTTTTTTTTCCAAATCGCCCAAGACGGCCCAAGAGGCCTCCAAGAGTGTCTCCAGGAAGGCCCGACAAGGCCAAAATCATGTCCAATGAGTTTTCAAGGATTATGGCATTTGCTTCGTTTCGGCCTTTCGACGGCCCGAGACGGCTTAAGTGCCCCCAAAGATCGCCCAAGACGGCCCCAAGAGTCCCCCAAGACGGCCGAAGAGGCCTCCAAGACGCTCAAGATGGCCTCCAAGACGGCCCAAAAGCCCTCCAAGACGTCCTCCAAGAAGGCCCGAAAGGGTCAGAATGGCCTCCAGGCGGCCAAGCTGACCTTCCAGATGCCCACATGTTCTCCGAAGGTTTTCCAAACCGATTCGGGGAACACATGGCCCGATAGCTTGGCTGCTCTGGCCTAAACGTTCGGCAACATAGGCGCTTCCACGAAGGCAGGGGCGGCGGTGTTTTGCCGTAGGCGTCTTCGATCCGCCGCCCCCTGTTGATTCGTCACAGGGTTGCCTGGCGTGCTGGACGATTTCGGTTTGGCTTTGGTTCTTTTCCAAAAAGAACCCCCCCTGGGGCGTCGGCCCGTCCCGCCGGCCACCCGGAAGGCCCGCAAATCTCCCAACCATTCGCTCAAGATGGCCCAAGATGGTCTCCAAGATGGCCACGTTGGCCCGAGATGGCCTCCAAGATGGTCCAAGATGGCCTCCAAGTCCGCCCAATGTGGTCCAAGACGGCCTCCCGTGCGGCCCAAAAGAGAGCCCAAGACGGCCGAAGACGGCCCAAGAGGCCCCCCAGGAGGCCTCCAACACGGCCCAAGAGGCATCCAAGAGGTCCTCCAGGAGGGCCCGAAAAGGCCAAGGTCATTGATCTGCCTTTGGGTTTTGAATGATTTTCGCATGTGTTTCTTCTCGGCTGTCCGACGACCCAAGACGGCCCAAGAGGCCCCCAAGGTCGCCCCCACAGCGCCCAAGAGGCCTCCAAGATGGCCTCAGGACTGCCCAAGAGGCCCACAAGACGGCCCCAAGAGGGCAGAAAGACGACACAAGAGGCCTCCAAGACGCCCAAGATGGCATCTAAGACGGCCCTGGAGCACCCCAAGAGGGCCCCAAGAAAGCCCAGAAAGGCTCCCCACTCAACGTCTTCCGACGGCCTCAGACGGGCCAGGAGCCCACCAAGACGGCCGAAGATGTCACTAAGATGGCCCAAGTGGCCTCCAAGAGGGCCTCCAGGAAGGCCCGAAAAGACCAAAAGCATTGATTTCCCGCAGGTTTTCGAATGATTTTGACACTTGCTTCGTCTCGGCCGAGGACAGTGCCCTCACCGATGCTTCGCATCGCATCACGTCTCCTCCCCTGCCCTTCCCCCTCCTGCTCTTGCTGCCTTGCTCCCATCCCTCCTAGAGGCATCGGTGCTACCGCCACCCTCTGCCCTGTCCTTGCAGGTGGGGCACCGCAATGTGCGCAGGACGTCACGACCGTAGGTGTTGTCCACGGACCTAGGAAAGGAAGGTACGATAAGGAAGAGAAGCTTAGAGGTCTAGGGGGTAGGCGCAATGGAAAAGGATACCCAGAGGGAAAATGGATAAGGGAGAGGCTGCTACGACGACATGATGTTGACCTCTCGACCGAGAGGCCCTTGAGAGGAAGGCTGTCGACTGGAAAATTGTCGTGCGCGCTTTCTGACGCGGCCTCGTGCCCCGATTTCCAGAGCCCGAGCCCTGTGCTGGCAAGCTGGGACCACGGTCGGGCGTCGTTCGCCTGAAACCTTGGCAGGAAGCACAGCCGCTGAAGATACCCCGAAATCGTCTCCAGAAGCTGAATCCTGAAACCCTTTTGGGCCGCCCTCGACCTCAGACTCTCCACAGACCCAGCAGTCCCTAGACGTCTCTTCTCCAGGGTCGGCCACCTGAGGTCGCGAAAATCCCAAGGACCTCTCACAAAGAACGAGAGCGCCCCCCGGTGTACAATTCCACTGCAAGTCATACGGAATCGGCCCAAGATGCCTGCTGCAACCTTGGCTCCTGCACCGAACGCCGATCGCTTCACCTGTCCGCCGCTTTGGATCAACGGAACAAGTGTGAGGGACCGAACCTCGACACAGCGAATGGTTTATGCCAGCATCACGTCCACCAGTCGGGGAGACGTAAGACCCAGGTACGGGGGACTCGGAAATCCCCGACGAGGTCGTCAAAAAAAATGACGAGGCCGAGCCTGCATTTTGACGAGGCCTCCCGCTGCAGACATCCCACGAAACTCCTACTCGTCGAAATCCGAGTCGCGGTCGTCAAAAAAAAAAGGCGAACCCGAGTCCTGGCAAACCCGGGTCTTACGCTGCCCCGAACCAGGGGCGCCGACCCACCGACTCTTGGACCGAGGAACGCCGCAGACATGCAGCCCCGCCTCGCTTATCGGAGGAGGGCCTGGCCAGCTGCGGATACTTCGCAGGGGCGAGGAGCAGAGGAGGCGAGGAACAAGAAAGAGGCTCACAGCTCGTGCATGCGTACACGAGCCCATGTGAAGAGCCGCGATGAAACGAAGGGGAGGATGATGAGGAGGGAGATCATAATGGAAGAACATCTCGCTGAATGATGTGGTCTGACCCTGGTGCGATGGCCTCCGCCCCAGAGGCTGGCTACGCTCCCCCAGCATGACCGTCTGCAGATTCCGTGTGAGGAACTTCCCTTGAATAATTTCCATCAGCGCGGCTTAGATCGATCCACCCCGCACCACTCCCAGCGCCACATCATATGTGCCAGCTCTACTTGGGAGATATGAGGCAGCGCCGCTTGGATTGTTTCCCTCTGCCACCTGTTCCGCTTCACCTCTGGCGTGTGGAACGCCCTGCTATCATTTCAGAAAAGCTCCAAAAGGACACGGAAAGCCTGACACACGCAAGAGAACGCTTGAACTGCCGCCATGCTGCCCCCTCTCGTCGCCAAGTCCAGAGGTGTGTTCCGCCTGGAGGCTCCGAGGGGGGCCCCGTCGGGCCCCATAAGGCCCCCCTCACACGCTGCAGCCCTCGTGGAGGCGAATGGGCCCTGGACCCCCCTTGCGCGCGCTCCAAGCACACGTCCGGGCGGATCCAGCCGTGGCGACGAGGGCCCTCAAGCCATCACTGCAAGGACGAAGCGCCAGCGACATCAAAGTCCGCGGGACGCGCCGCCCCCCTGACTCCGCGAGAAGCTGCTGCCAGCCACCCTCTCGGGCCTCTGGGCCAAAACCCAGTCCGCATCTGCCAAACTCTCAAGAGCAAGAAAAACGAAGTCCCTCTTCTCAATACGGTCCTGGAGG